ACATTTTGGGTGACACGCCAGCATTCACCAACACCCAACAACTGTTCGTCCTGTTTGAGTTACCCAAGAAACTGAATTTCTTTTACTCGTATTTCGTTTTTGTAATTATTTGATGTTTCTTTATATAATACCTAGCACCACACATGATTGGACTGTATTTTTTAAAAAATAAATGAATATGTAAATGAATGTTTCTCTTTTGTTCGGGGGGGGGACATGCCAGCAGAGTCAAGTTAGGCATTTTCCAAATTTTTGACATGCCAAGCCCAAAAGGTTCATCATCACTAATCTAGTCTGTATTCTGGAGTCACTAAACACCCCTCATTCCCTGTTTGGGAGTTCCGAATTCTTTTTATTCTGTCCAGCCCAGTGGAATGTTGGAAGAAAATACTGCAAAGGGGGTTGGGGTCTTGTCTGTCCCTCTATTCGTAAGCAGGAGAATGCTCCAAAAACCGAACAGAACAGGGCCAAATTTGATGTGGGGAGAGAAGCCATCAACAGTTTGAAAAAGGGCTGGATTAGGCTGGGGAAAGCAGAGAAAATATATCCAGAATAAGATCCCTCAGGGTGGGCTATTCCTCTATTCTCATTTCACCCCCTCTCTCCTGGTCATGTGACTCAGAGCCCATCCCTTGCTTCCCACTTTTGTGTCTGTCTCTCACACACATACACACGCACATGCACTGAGAAGCAACATGTCACTTTTTTATACAGTGCAGTAGAAGAATGCAAATGCTTCCTGTGGCCACTACCGGTGAAGCATTGGAAAGAATTCCAGAAACCATCCTCTGAGTACTTTCCCTATCTTGTTCTGTTTATTTATTTACTTTTGGTTCTTCTTCAGATCTTGGGTTACCTTTAGTCTATAGATAGCTCTTGTTTGTGTGGGTGATACAGATAAAAACAATGAAACCCACAGTCAGAATGAAATAGATTCATTCTGGCTCTCTAAATAAGGGGTTCTGTCTACTTGTCACTGGAATTAATTTCCATTTATTTATTCCATTTATTTTCCATGAATCATCTAAGCTACTTGGTGTTATTGCATCTTGAGATTGTTAATTAATTCAGAGAACAGCAGCACGGATGATCTGGGGACTAGAAAATAAATCCTATGAAAGGGCTTGAAGGATCTGGAAATGTATAGCTTTGAGAATGAAAACGGAGGGGGCATCATAACACTCTTCAAACACTTGAAGGGATGTCACAGAGATGGAGATCAAGACCCATTGTCTATCATTCTGGAGTGCAGGATAGAGAAAAATGGATTTAAATTAGAGTTGATTTCAATTGAATGTTTTAAAAAATCCTATCAGTAAGATCAATTATCCAGAGAATTGATGGGCTTCATTTTGTTGGATGTGTTCAAACGGAGGCTAGATCCCCAACTTTAAGGGATGCTTTATTATGGATTCTTGCATGGAAGGCCTTCTTCCATCCCCAAGATCCCAGTTACGTGTAGATGAAATGTTTCTCCACCAAAGAAAGCTACAGAGATGGAAAATGCACTTTGTTACTGAGTCAAGTACAACAGTGGTCCCCCAGTGTGAACAGGGAGGAATGAATAAGGAAATAACAAGACTATGTATTGATTCACTTCATCATGCTTGCCATCTTTTATCTTTATCTTTTATTGATTTTATTGAAATTTCTTGGTTTGATGGTTGTGAGCTGCCCAGAGTTGTCAAGAGTTGAGCAGCATACAAGTAGTAGTAGTAGTAGTAGTAGTAGTAGTAGTAGTAATAATAATAATAATAATAATAAT